ACCCTAATGCCAATTTCTAATGTCCAGATGTGTGAATTAGTAACTATACCCACTTCTTCCTTGTTATAACAAGAAGGAATAGTTAGGTTTACAGAATTTCTCAGATCTTCCAGACCTCCATTGCTTAGTGGTAAAGTCCTGGGCACTAGCATGAGACAGGCTAGTACTGACTCTCAGCTCCTGTATCATGTGCTACCTGTGTAACCTATCACAACTTACCTAAGCTCACTAAGCCTCGGCTTCTTTCATGTATGATTTGGAGATAATAATTTTCCTACTTCATATGGTTTTGATGGTTGAAGAAAATAGTGTTCTCAAAATTACTCAAGGCAGTTTTTTACACATTGTGTGTTCTGTAGAGGAAGCAATTACTAATTAGAAAGTCTCTTTTTTTCATAATGTAAGTCTTTGCAGTTGATATTATTCATGTCAGCAGCCTGAAATGAAGTGAGCACTAGCATTTGCTAATTGTTTTATCCTTGGAAGGTACTAAAAGGAATGATTCATTTGCAGGGGCAGAATGTGCTGGCCAGGACCAAATGGGATGGAGCAAAATGTCCTGAATGCTACCATACATTGTTTCTTGGTATCTGCTGGAGATTGGTTCCAGGATTTCTGCTCCCTGTACCCCCAACCCCTGCCCTTTATCACAATCTGAGGATGCTCAAGTCCCTTATATAAAATGGTGTAACATTTGCATATATCCTATGCACATCCTCCTGTATACTTTAAATCATCTCTAAATTACTTCTAATGCCTAATAAAATGTAAATGATATATAAATAGTTGCTAAATTATTTTGTTTAGGTGACAATGACAAGAAAAAAGTACATGTTCAGGTTGGGTGTGGTGGTGCATGCCTGTAATCTCAGTGGTTTGGGAGGCTGAGGCAGGAGGATCATGAGTTCAAAGCCAACTTCAGCAATTTAGCGAGGCCCTAAAGCAACTTAGTGAGATCCTTTCTCTAAATAAAATATAAAAAAAGGATGGATATGTGGATCAGTGGTTAGGTGCCCCTGGGTTCAATCCCCTATACTACCCTCCCCCACCCCCAAAGTTCATGTTCAGTACAGATCAATTTATTTCTGAATATTTTCAACCTGTGATTGGTTGAATCTGTCAATGTGGAACCCTCAGATATGGAGGCCCAGTTATATCTTAACATTGTGCTTTGGCCCTGCTCTCCATTGTTGAACCTATATTTATTTTGGAGTAAGGTATATCAAGGTGAGAATGGAGCTGGTTGTTACACATACTACAGGTGAACAGATTTTCCTAGTTTTAGCTTTGAATTGGAGGATTACTTGAAGAAAGGCTGCACTGGGGACTAGGCTTACTGACTTCTGTCCTGCCTTATTATTCCATTATACTTTTTTTTCTGTTCTCTCTCGTTTCTGAAAGGTCAGATTAATTCCCTCATCTTCATAAAACTTTATCTGATTATTTCAAACAAATTGGATGTTTGCAGTGGTATACACTTAATCTGAAGGTCCCCAAGCAGAATTTCACAAAGAAGACCTCCTCCAGGTTCTTTGCCCAAAGAATGCCCTGCTAGGCAGCCTGTAGCACTCCTGTGTTTTGTGGGAGTAACTTCAAGCACTGTATGGCCACTGGGGCTGTGCCTTTCTTTGGCTTAAGACGGGGGTGGGGGGGTGGGGGGGTGTTTCATTAACAAGCATGTTCACACTTCAACTAGAACATTTAAAATAACACCCGCACAATGTGTTTAGTGTCTGGTTAATTATTAAGTCTCTGAGCTTGAATTATTCAAGCAAAATTGATTGGGTTCAACCTCTTCCTTCTCTTTGTGCTTTTTTTAAACAATAAAAATAAATTCTTCCCTTTGTTCTCTAAATAATGTGGAAAGGGTTATTTAATAAACTTCAATACCCTGAACTGTGTGTGGTACCCAAGTGCTAATAGAATAGAGAGATCTGGCAGCTCGACTCTTTTGTTAAAAAAAAAAGCTTATCTGGGTCTGGGGATGTGGCTATGTGGTAGAGTGCTTGCCTGGCATGCCTGAGGCCCTGGGTTCTGTCCCTCCCTAGTGGTGCCAGCACCCTCCCCCACCCACAGAATGAGAGAGAGAGACAGATAGAGAAGGTATCTAAGAATCTACATCTCATACCTCCCTTGTTAATGAGTATTTATTGAGACATAAAATGTTTTTGGTTCTTTTTAAAATTTCCTGATAGTTATTTGTAAGTTGGATTAGTATCTTGGAATCAGCTCACTAGTATATTGTATTTGAAAATGCAGAAGAAGGAATTGATTACTTTTTTACTACCGCATCTCATGGTCAGTTGAAATTGTCAAAATGTGATGGCTTCACAATTAAAAATCATGTTGTTGAAGAATATTTGTTTACCTACAAAGACATTTGTAATGCATTGGTAACTAAACTGGAAGCTGTAAAACTGTCCTTTACTATGAAACAATTTTTAGGAAAACAAATTATAAACATCAAAATGTTGATTATTATCTAGTTTATAATTAAATTTTTCTTTTTTGCTTTTCTACTTTTATAATTAGACAACACACATAAATATGTCATGGTTGGAAATGATTGACTTCTAGTCTGAACATTTAAATATATTCATGTGCCAAGAGCACATTGAAAATAATGCTGTCCTTATTTAAGTCAGGCAAGTGTAGATTTCACAAAACATTCACAATATTGTGTGAATCACAGCAAACTGAATAATTCTATTAGCCTTTACTTTTAGGACTCATGTTTAGATCTTCATTTCTCCTTCTTCTTGGGCTTCCATAATACGAAGGTATAAAAAGATGCATGGTGGGCATTGACGTGGATAATGGGGGTGAAAAAGGAATAGAATATAATTGTGTTTAGGAGAAAGATCATAGAGATGGAAAATTTGAGAGGAAATAATGGAAATGTAATGACCTAGTTTAGGGGTATTAATTTAAATGTGGGATCTTCCATGAGAATTTTGTAGAGAGCTCTCTTCAAACCAAGATCATAAAAACCTGGAAAGGCCCTACAGGCATCAGGTGATTTAGCTCTTCAGTGACTGACTGCCTTTGCTGCTCCAGTTGCTGTGTGGAGCCACTGGATCATAAGTGTGCTTGTGTGCTTATCTCTGTGTGTGCAAATGGGGTATAGGTTTGATAACAGAGATGAACTGTCCTGACTCCTTTCATTAGCTAAAAGCCCTGTAGGCGGTAACCTTGGCTGAGGATAAACAGGCAGCATCTAGAATATTTCCGGAGGAGAAAACACCAGGCTCCACGTTGGGAAACTTTTGAAAATAGAGATGGGAAATTCTCTCTTTTGCGCGCCCGGGCGCGCACAAAAATATCACTTGGATGGTAGCGCATATAAGTGTTATGTTTTTGTCCTGAGAAGTGACATAAATTCTTTAATCAGACACCCAAGAAATTATGACTCGACTGTGTAAGAACCGAATTTGGGGGGCGGGAGTAGGGACGGACAGGTAAGGAGCGGTCAAGAGGCACCGTCTTTTCCAGAGCTTGTTGGAAGCAGAAAGGCGTCTGCTTCTAGACCTTCTGAGCAAATGTGCAAGACAGGTGGCATCTCCCAGGACGGGGAAGTAGCTGGGATTTGCGATGTGTAGGAGAAGCCTCGGGGATCCGGGGCCAGTGGCATGGCAGCGGTGGCGCAGTTCCCAGCCCGCGTCCTGCCGCAGCTCCACAGCTCGGCTCGGTCATGCTGTCTCCATAGCCTCCTCCGCCACCGCCACCTGGGCCTCCCCTAGTCCTCCCGTATCCCTGCATTCCACACTGCGGCAGCCGAGGCTTCGCGGGCCGAGTCGGCCCTCAGCACGCGCCTCAGGCTTGTGCAGCGACCGGCGCCCCCTCCGGGGCCTCGACTCTGCTGGGCCGCAGGACAACGCCCGGCTGCGTGCGGGGCTCCGGCGGGGGCGGGGAGAGGGCGAGTGCGCGCGTGTGTCGCGGGGGCGCGGGCGGGGACCGCCATATTGGATCCGGACTCGTCCGCGAGCCTCCGCTTCGTGCGGTGCCGACTGGAGCGGCCTCGCGGAGTCCCGGGCGCGAGCGCGAGAGGAGCGGGAAGGCGGGGGAGGCTGGGAGGGAAAGGAAGGGAGTGGTTGGGAGCCGGGCTGCGGCAGCCTCTGGTCTCCACACCAGCAGCACGGACCCCTCCTCCTGCGCCTCAGCCTCCTCCCTCCTCTCCAAGGAAAGATGCCCTTAACCCAGGGGTGTGAAGAAGGGGGAGAAGTAGCCGCCGGAGCCGCCCGCGACGCCGCAGCTGCTGCCGTCCGTGTCCTTTGAATCCAGAAGAGCACCCCCCTCGCCCAGGGGCATCGGGAGGTTCCGGCGCGGCGGCCGCGGTCCGGGTGCGGGGGACACCGGGCTCTCCGCCAGGCGCCGCGCGGCCCGGCCCGCGAGCGACCACCGACATGGAGCGGGCTCCGGCGGCCAAGTAGCCGCTGCTCCCGGAGCCCGGGTGGGAGAGCCGCCCGCAGCCCGCCTTCCTAATCCCGGCCGTGCCGCCGGTCAGGCCCCTGGGAGAAGCCGGGAGAAAAAAATGAAGAGTTTTCGCCGGAATCAGTTGGAAATAGGATTGACTGCAAAGCCTTAAAAAGAAGGACCTCGGGAGGAGAAAGGAAAAGCCTCCTCCGGGCAAGACTTGGCGTGCTCGGCGCTGAGGAGAGCTGCTTCAGGGACCTCGCCCCCTCCCTTTCCCGCTGGAGAAATTGCCGCTGATGCATTATCCAAGTGGCGGTTGGGAGGATTTGCAGCAGAATTTTTGGTTTTCCCTCCCCCTTCTATATATTCTGTTTTTTTCCTCCCTTTTCTATTTTCTTTCTTCCCGGGGAGTAAATTGCTGATGCAAAGGGGGACTTTATTCATTAATGATGCAACCGGATTCGTTTCAGGATTACGTTGCACGAGTTGAATTTTGAATGAAGGAGAAGAGTTGTTTTTTTTTTTTTTTTAAGAAGTGTTGACTCTAGTTCGTTTAATTATTATTTTATTTAAATATACGATTTAATTGTATTATTCATTTAAAATGTATTAAATATATTTTATGATAACTTACCCTCCAAATATATGTATATGGGTGTAATTGAAGACGTTTCAGTTAAGTGAGGTTACTGGTGTATTGGATGTTTAATTCAGCACCGGCATTGCATGACAGTTATTGGAATAACAAGTGGTTTATTTCTGAAACCACACCTTTTAAAATTTAAGTTCAAATAGTAAATAGTCAAACTTGTAATAACAATTTAGAAGCAAATCAACAGAAATCGAAGCAAACATGTCCGGAGAAGTGCGTTTGAGGCAACTGGAGCAATTTATTTTGGATGGGCCGGCTCAGACCAATGGGCAGTGCTTCAGCGTGGAGACCTTACTGGATATACTCATCTGCCTTTATGATGAATGCAATAATTCTCCATTGAGAAGAGAGAAGAACATTCTTGAATACCTAGAATGGGGTAAGTTAAAAAAATCTTTAGCTGTGCTTTATGATTTGATTGTTAAGGAGAATTATGAGTAAACTCTCTGTAACGAAAAAATTATATATATTTATAATTAAAGATCAAACACTAGTTTTTCAAGATTTTTTCTCCTGGTTTTTGGTAAATATTTTTTCAAGAGTAAGACCATGCTACTCAATTGTTGCCTTGACGTAAGGCCTACCTATTATGGAAATTATGATGAAGAACTTAGGTTTTTAGGTCAGCAGTAAGAGATTTAAAATAAATTTGGGATGGGCAAAAATGAATTATTATTCAGTGTTGCCTTATCCATGGCAGTATGACAGCCATTCAATTGAAAGGTATTTGTGGGTGGAAACATTCCTTCCCAGATTTTGGAAATCACTCTTGAAATGGGAGGAGATATTGAAATGTCTGTTTATCCTAGGACAACAGAAACGTGAAGGTGCTGAGCAGTGTGTTTCATTTCATCTCCATATAGTGCAAGCAAAGCACAAGCTAAACATGGGCTTTAAAAAAAATTGTTACGTTCAGAAAGATGACTTGACAAATACTTAAAAAAATTTGTTGATGGAGAATGGGGAAAGCTACCACCTGAAGACTTTACTCTTGAGTTTCAGTCTAAACTGTTAGTCTTTTGGTTCCAATCTTCTGAATATAGATGTGTTTTAGAAGACTTCTTGTAGTGGAATTGATCATTGATGCTCTGTGAGCTATCCCTCCATGTGACCTTCAAGCTTCAAGGCTTGGCTGAAATTCTTCAGCCTCTCATGTTATATATGGATGCAGTCTGACCTGACTGCCATCATCATTGCCCAGTGCATATATAGTGGTATGCATTGACTTTGGAAAGATTTTTGGCCAACTAGCATTTTGTACCTTTGGAATACTAGTAATATTAATTGGTTGAAAAGATGTTTTTTTTTTTTATTGAAAAGTTTTTATGCCAAAATATCCTTGTTCCCAAGTGATACTTTATTTTCCTGAAGTAAAAATCAAGGGCTGATTGTTTCTTTTCTTTTCTTTTTTTATTTTGAAATTTATTCAACATTAGTTTTTTAGGTCAACCACTGATTCAAGAATCCCAAACATATAATAATTGTAATTATCAAATTTGCGAGTATTAAAAGATTTATAGCAACATGATGTCATGAGGTTTTAAAAAATATGTGAATGGGATGATTTAAAAAAAAAATAGGCCACCATAGTCATACTGGAAATGTAAGAAATCTAAACTATCTTTCAAGAAATTGCTCTCTCAAGAGTGCTGGTTTTCGGGTGTGTGTGTGTGTGTGTGTGTGTGTGTGTGTGTGTGTGTGTGTGTGTTTAATGTATAGAGTAAAGTATTTTATAAAGCATGTGTAGTTTCTCATGTTTCCTGAATTTTAGGAGTTCTATAGTGTTTTCTTTTCGAACACTAAGGTCTTGGTACTTTTATTTATTGGTTTATTTTTTGTGATACTGGAGATAGAACCTAGGGGTGCTTTTATCCCCGAGGAACATCACCCTGCCCATTTTTTTTAAAAAAAATTTAGTTTTGAGATGCTGTCTCATTAAATTGCCAAGACTGGCCTTGAACTTGCTATCCTCCTGCCTCAGCAGACTGATGGCTGGGATTATAGGTGTGTGCCAGTGTCTCCACCTCCCCCCCTCCATGAAGGTTTTGGTATTTTTATAGTTTTGAGTTTTGAAATTATGGTTTTATAGTGACACTCTAGTCTATGATTGTGATTGTCATTTAACATCCTTTCTCATTTGCAAAATAGTGGGAAAAGTCTTTATGTGTACCAGTGGAAAATATAATTTTATATAATTTATGATAAAAGAGAAATGTTCTCCATCTACTTCTGATCTATATCTCAAAGCTTTGTGCTTTGAGATATTTTGCTGTATTGTTAACTTATGTCTTTCTGTTAAGTATATTTTCTTGGATGTTGTTTCTTCTGTATGCATAGAAAGCACTGTTGCTTATATAGTTACTTAAGCCAAAATAGTGAAAAAACAAAAAGCAAGTATTTAGCCAAATACCTTATATTTTTATTAAGATCCCTAAAGTAATTCTAATCAGGACTTATCACAATTGATAGTTATTTTAGTTGTATCCTTCACAGCTTTTCTTTTTAGAAGTCTGATAACAAACTGTACAGTTTCTTAAACTATCATTGTTTTTCAATGATAGAGATCACTTAGAGATCAAGGGAATAGAATTTAAAAAAATGTAAAATAACCTTTATTAATTTATTTTTATGTGATGCTGAAGATTGAACCCAGTGCCTCACATGTGCCAGGCAAGCGCTCTATCACTATGCTACAACCCCAGCCTGAGAATAGACTTTTTAAGGAATTATTTTGTATAGGGCTAGGCAGTGTCTGATAAGTCTCAACAGTTTTTTTTTTTTTTTTTTTGGGCAAGGCTGGGAGTACAACCTATGGCCTTACACATGCTAGGCAAATGCTCTACCACAGAGTTATATCTCCAGTTGGAGTATGAGGTCTTGAAAATGGTGGATATTAACCACAGAAGATTGAGTGAAGAATAAGAAAGAAAGAATAAAAAAGAATGGAAGAGCTGTGGGGATGTATCGTGGTAGTATTTACTATCCTTAAGTTATTGGGGAATTTAGGTTAAGAATGACATTATTTTTCATCCAAGAATTAAAATAAATGAGCCATACTTCATGTATAAATTGATTACATTTTTGGGAAATTATCTATGTTATTTGCCTTACCTAACATTATATAGAAAACAATTTAGATTAAGGAAATTTCCAGATTGTGAATTTGTCTTAATTTGATTTTTTAGAGCATTATTATTATTATTAATATTGATATCTGATGGAATCTTCAAGGGATTGTTGTTTGGGTTAAATTTGGTAATTTAGATTTGCCTTATATATCATTTTTAGTTTGATTTTAATAATTTGAAAAATATTAGGTCTTTAAATCTTTAAAGTAATTGCAGCAGGAGAACAAGTATAGTTAAATACTGTGTATTGTGTACTAAATATTTGTGTTTGTTATTTATATTTATGCAAGTACTACCTAGATACTCTTGAGTTTATGCTGATAATTGGTTATTTTTAAAAATGGAGTCAGCTGGGGTTGGGGCTGTAACTCAGTGGCAAAGCACTTGCCTAGCATGTGCAAGGTTCTAGGTTCAATCCTTAGCACCACATAAAAATATAAATAAATAAAATAAAAGCATGCTGTCCATCTACAACAACCAAAAAAAAAAAAAAAAAAGCAGTCAGCCAAGATTTTAACGAATGCCTCATTTCCATTGAATTCATTTATTCCTAGTTATGGTTCATTTTACTTTTATATTGGTACAGTTAATGTTTTGTTCATAACAGTATCACGATAGTAACAAAACTGACAATTCAAAGTCAGACATGTTGTTTTTATTTGATAGCATTCCTTGCTTTTGGTACCTATGGCTTGAAGGAAGAAATAAGTAGAAAAGGAGGGAGGAAGAGGGGATTAAGCTGAAGAGTACTGGTGAATGGGGATAAAAGCACCTTAAGACCATAGATAACTTTTTAAATTTAATAATAATATTTTCCAGTTATAGGCAGTATGATTTGAAGGACAATGTTTTTATCTCCTATGTTTTCTAAACTGTTGATTATAGTTTGTATGTTTGTTTATAAAGTGGTAGTTTTGAAGTTAGTAGTATAATTCTAGAATAGTTACAGTAAATTTATAGAAGTAAAAATAACTTCAACTTTGTAAACTAACTTGATGACTGTATGAGTTCATTATTTATTGAATTGGCTGTCTTCTACTTTGAAATGGGAAATTGGAATTTTAGGGAATTCTTTACCAATTTACTTAAAAAATAGATATAAGATAATATTTCATATGACAAAAATTTGCAGGGCAGTATGTGGATAATTTTTTGATGCTTTCTGATCTTTTATGCAAATAATCATTACATTTTATGCAAATAATCATTAAACAATTTTATAGCTTATTCATATTTTATGTGTGCTACACAGAGAATAAATGATTGATAAACTTGTCACTCAGGCACATAGGCAAGTATTATGGTGTAAACATTTCCCTTTTGAAAATATATTTTTAGTTGTTGATGGACTTTTATTTTTATGTGGTGCTAAGAATCAAACTCAGTGCTTTACACATGCTAGGCAGGTGCTCTACCACTGAACTACCACCCCAGCCCCAACATTTTCTTTTATGAAAGTAGTTGTAAAGCTTATTTACATTTTTTTCATGTGTGGGTTAATTGAGTGAGGTAAATTGTGGCTTGCTTAGAAGGATCTAAATGTCTAGGGTGTTTTATTCTTTGTGTCTGCTGTTCTTTACTGTTAGCTTTCCTGAGTATAATTTATTAACCATATCAAATTATCAAGATATTAATTGAATACAGATGATCAATTTATTTTTTATGTAAATTCTCAATTAGGATCATATAAATATCTTCAAAAACAGATTGGACCCTTATATCCTTTAACCTAGTTATCTAGTTATTGTAAGCGTGAATACAATTATTTTATCCAACACAATTCTGGCACATGGCAGGAACATGTTCAACAAGTGGGGGATGACTTATTATATTCTCTTTCAAATAACTCTTAGAGGTAGTTGCTAAATGGTATTGGTTACTGCAACAAATTGAGACATTTATTAGTAATTATTTTAAGGAACATCACTTTTTCTTTTAAGTATATTGTTTTATGAATGAGAACAGGATGTCAGGATTAACACTTTAAGAATTTTAGAAATATAGTTATTTCTTATGGAATTTAAGTCATATCTTAGCAAATGCCACAATGTGTTGGAAATTTTATGAAATGTGCTATGCATCTTAGGACTTGTTGCTATTACACAGTCAGCCCAGGCTACTTTAGGCACAAATTAGTATTTTACTGTACTACTCTGTGGCAAAAAGTTTTTTCCAAAACTTTTTCCCTTTTGGTACTTAAAAAAAATATTTTTAGTTGTAGATGGACACAATACCTTTATTTTATTTATTT